ACTCGATCCTGGATCTCCAGGATCACGCCCTGGGCCAAAGGTGGCGCTAAACCACTGAGCCACCCGGGCTGCCCAAACAACACCTCTTCTTACCCTGAAGAAGCTGATAGGCTGGGGTGGGGAGGGGGGGACAGATAGAAGTGCTCTGCATTCTCAAAACAGAGCTAAGCTCAACCACAGGAAGGAGGAAGGGAGGAGGAATCAGGAGACTGGGCAACTATAAATTCACTGCCACCCCTGAAAAACTTGAGGAAAGTTAACAACAGCAACAAATCAACTACTTGATTAATCCTGATACCCTAAAGCACTGACAGACAAAACTGATGCCCTGAAAAACAGTTTGGCAGCTTCTTAAAAGTTAAACATAAATAATTCTGCAACTACTCCATCTGCTCTTTAACATTTTTTTCCTGAAGTTTTACATAAACTGTTTTTCTTTAAGGAAACTGGGGGGGGGGGGGTTGCATAAACATAAACACACCATATGACCGGTGATGGCACTCCTAGGAATCCACCCAAGGGAAATGAAGACGTGGGTCCCCACAAAGACATGTACGTGAATGTCCACAGAGGCGTTATTCATAACAGCCCCAAACAGGAAACAACTCGAGTGTCCACCAATGCTGCAAGGTCAAACAGTGTGGGGTGCGTCCGTACAGAGGGGTACCCTCCAACCATCAAAAGAACAAACTACTGACACATGCTATGGTATGGGTGGACCACGAAAACATGAAGTGAAAGCAGCCACACTCAAAAGACCACATATTATATGAGTCCATTTCTATGCAGTTTCCAGAAACAACAAATCTTATATGGGCAGAAAGCAGATCAGTGATTGCCTAGGCTGGGAGTGGGAGCGGGGATTAACTGCAAACGGACACAAGGGAACGCTGTAGGGTGTCATCACAGTGTTCCGAAACAGGGTTATGGTGATAGTTGCACAACTTGGTAAATTTACTAAAATCACTGAATTGTGTACTTTCAATGGTGACTTTTAGGCACGCATATTGTACCTTCATAAAGTTGTTATAAAAACAAAACCCCGGTGCCAAACCATTCTCCTATCCATGGCGAAGAAAGAATGCAGGAGAGGAAGTGAGGGAGCTATCCCCTAGCAGAACGCAGGGGTCGTTGCCGTAACGTATCCAGTGGGACTTCCCCTATGTTCACTTTTAGGAGTCCATCCAGTTCTAAGGTCCAGCAGTAGTCAGCTTTTACCGGGCATCACTATGCTAAGAGGACAGTACTAATATCATTCCCATTTTACAGATGAGAAAACAGGATCAGAAAGGGAAATCAGCTCACTCAAGGACCCACAGCTACAGAGTGGGAGAGCTGAGACCCATGCCTGCCTGATTCTGGAATCTGCATTCTTTGCTCCTGCGCCGCCCTATCCCCATCTCCCCTACCCCTCGCCCCTGCCCAGAACCCATTCCCCCGTGACTCTCTGGCCCCTGGGAGAAAAGCATAGCCCTGCTTAGGCAAAGCTGAGCACGGATGCTAAACTTTCTCATCTCACTGTAGCAACACTACCTTTCATTCAGGTCTCCAGCACCAGGGTCCTTAAGCAAGAAGGGCCCTGATTTACGTAAGCCGCGCATTTTGGACAAGCAACACTGAGCAGGTGCTAGCATCGGTGTCTGTCTGGAGCACGTAGTCCCTAAGGCCTGTCTGGGCTGTCCTGGGGTTCAGCAAAGATGCGCCAACAGTCAGGGAGAGAGAGAGAGGGCCTCAGGTTCAGCCACAGGCCTGCCCAGATGAATTTCCTGCTTGAGCTTTTCATCAGAGCTGCAAGTTTCCCGGGGACCGCTCCACGCAGGAGCACGACAACGCCGCCGCCCTGGCCGCGCTCACACACTGGCGCAGCCCGGCCTGGTGGGGAGCTGGTGGGAGCCTCCTGACCTCCCGTGGGTGGCCCACAGAGCTCATTGTTCTCTCCCGCAGAGTTGCATCAGCTGTTCTTCTTCTAGGCAGCAGTTTGAGTTTTCCAAAGGGGGCCTGGCAAGGCTGAGGAGGCCTGGAGGTGCTGGTGTCCCTGGAGGGAGTGTGCCCCAGGCACCCTGAGGCCATAGGCGCAGCAAGACAGAGCATCTCCTCTCCCCATGCTCCCTCCCCACCCAGGCACACCCACCTCCCGCTGCTACTCAGGCAAGCTGGCGCCTGTCCCCCTGCTGGCTCTCCAAGGACTGTCCTCTCCCCCTAGAACACTGTTCCCTCCAGTCTTGTCCCCACTCCCGCACCTTCTCGGGTCTTTGCTCAAATGTCACCTTCTCAGTGAGTCTTCCCCTGACCACCCTACTTAAAAATTGCAACCCCCTGATCCCAGCACGCCCTTCCCCGCTCCAGCTGTGTTTTCCTCCAGAGCACCCATCACCGTCTAACGTGCTACGTGTTTGACTTGCTTATCCAGCTCCCCCACCCCCACCAGATCTAAGTGCTATGAGGAATGGGAGTTTGGCTTGTCTAGTTCTCTCTGCGGTCCCTAGAACAGAGCCTGGCACGTACTGAGCAGCAATCAGGACGACAAACTTCTGAGCACAGCCTGGCCTAGGAACAGCATCTGGTCAGCTACCGTCCAATGCCAAAGACACCATGGGGGATTCTATGAGGCCAGCTGGGACTTCTCAAGCCTGCTCAGAGGGGACACGAGGCAGCGTAGGAGAGATGCTGCATGAAGGGAGCAGCAGTCGGGCCTCCCCAACACACCGGTGGAAAACCACCCTGTGGGTACCTGTAGGTGCCTGTCCATCGTGTCACACCTCTCTGGCCCTCCTCTAGGGAGGCCCTCTGAGTCTGGGCTGGGCGACGCCACAGCCTGGAACATAAGGAAGGTAGCTCAGGGGCTGGAGCAGAACTAGACGTGGACATAGGTTCTGGGACCCCCAGGCATTGCCCAGGAACTCTCAAGACGTGGCTGTCAGATGAAACCCAGACAGGTGACAGGAGACTTCAAGGGCATCCATGGCCTGAATCTGACTCTTGGCTAGACTTAGCTCATAGGACTTAAGAGCTGCTCTTCACCCAGGTGTGCAGGATTCATCCTTACCTCACTGGGGCTGGGACTCGAGCTCACATCCAGGCCTGACAGGAGCCCTCTGCTCTGTGGTCACTCCGTGCAAGGCAGGGAGGCCTGGTCTGGGAGGTGGAGGGCGGTGGGTGGCGGGGCAGGCAGCTTCTCCCGCCACACGGCTAATTCTGTCTGCTGTATGCTAGATTATTTCCCCCAGCTGAAGGCAGCAGCGGATGCCTTTTAACACAGCTGTGAAAAGTACGGGGGCAGCCCGGGTGGCTCAGCGATTTAGCGCCTGCCTTTAGCTCAGGGCATGATCCTGAAGTCCCAGGATCCAGTCCCACACATCGGGCTCCCTGCATGGAGCCTGCTTCTCCCTCTGCCTGTGTCTCTGCCTCTCTCTCTCTCTCTCTCTCTCTCTCTCTGTGTGTGTATCTCTCATGAATAAAGAAAATCTTAAAAAAAAAAAAGTATGGCGGCATCCTCTACCTTGGTTTTGAGTTCCAGCTCTGTCACTAAGTAGCTGGATAATTTTGGGCAATCTCTTTACCTCTTTGAGTCTCAGTTTCCTTATCTGCAAAATGGGATAGAAACATCTGTATTTCACCAGGTGGTTGTGGGGATTAAGCTAGATCATTGGTACATGCCTGAGCTCAGTGCCTGGCACGTGGGGAGGGCTGAGTACATGTGAGACCTTGCTGCTGTTGCTATCAGAAAATAAAGGCAGGAAGGAAGTCAACCCCTAGCCACCTGTTCAGGCTGGCCACAGACCTCCAAGTCCAACAGAGTCCTGAGGCAGCTGAATTGGCCAGTAGTTAAGGTACTAGTAATGCCTTTCTCCTTTGGGTTTCAGAATGGTGCTCAAGAAAAACCAGAGTGGGTGGAAACTTCTCGGTGACCATGGGAATTATTCCAAAGGAGGGGCTATCTGGGCTAAGAGTGTGACTCTGGAAAAGAAGGAAAAGGGGCCCCAAAGCCACTAAATCCCTGAGTTTATAATTAACAGCCGCACACTCTCTTTGCTGGCTTTGGAGCCACCACAGCTCACAGGGAAGGCCACTAGTAGTCATACAAAAATAACCCCCCAGTGGGTTTTTGAAGTGTTGAGCCTCTTTGTTTTACTGAATTTTAATGAAGGGCTTTCCAGGCAGGATAAGAGCAGCAATCAGCACTCCCCATGGCAGAGGAGTAGGGCTTAGTAGGCGGCTGCCAGCCAGCCTGTACGGCCTCATCCAAAGTGGCACCGAGGAGAGGCGGGCAGGGAGGCGTCCCTGTCCTCAGATGATAGGTCTTGGGGGAGAGGGAGAGAAAAACAAAAACAAAAGATGTCTCTGTTTAGAAAGAAGGTTGGGCTCTGCTCCAGATATTGGCACAGTTTGGAAACAGGCAGCGATGATGCTTGGGGGAGCAATGGAGACAAGCAGTTATGGCTCTGAGAGGTCAGAGGGAGTCCCAGGCTCCCTGAGAGAGTGCTTCTGTGGAATGCTTGGGGCTGCCAAGCTGGCCTCTGCTAATGAGAACCAGCATTGAGGCTCTGGGAAGGGAAGGGCATCCTTGGGAGCCCCAGGCACTGGCTGCAAGAAGAAAGGAGAAAGGGGAGCAGTGCTGTCAGGAAAGCCCCCAAACCCCGCTGTGAGGAATGGGTCACCTTATTGTACCCCCTTCTTGCCATTGTCAGCTAAGCTGCCTGCCAGCATGACTTTACTGACATCACTGAACATGCCCAGTGAGGGTGTACCCTACTGGGTCCTCCCCGGACCCCAGCAGGTAGAGGCTTACAGCCTCCCCTACCCTTGTTTCCAGGTGCTTCCAGGTGGACAGATGCTCCAGGGAAATGCCTTGGCCTCTGTGAACCAAATGGCTGGGAGGAACATCATTCCTCTCCCCTGAGTCATGCTTTCCCTTCGACAGTGGGAGTGTACCCATCAGACCTTCTTCATTCTTGATGAATCTTTCCAAGAGGCTGCTGGAAAGAAATGGAAGAGATGGCCACAGAATAAAGCAATTTATTACAATGGAATGATCCAACGTGGTCTGCTGAAAATAAGCATTTTTATTACAAAACAGTCCATATAAAAATTCTAAGCTGTTTGCAAGCTTCTTTAGTCCTAGGCTTATGGTATTTTATCAAGTCCAAAGCAGAAATTACTCTGTGCAGGGAGAGCTGTCTGTTGAGGCCCAGGGGCTCAGGTATGTGCAGGCTGTCCCATTGGATCCTCCTTCTCGGCCTGTAGCAGGTCCCACTCGCTGAGGAGCTCGGAGGACACCTCAGTGTACAGACGGTCCCAGTCCCAGTTGACGTCATCCTGCCGGGAGAGGCATCGCTGGGGTAGGGAGAGGGCCTTTCCCTCCATCACAGCCAACCCCCAGGTTCCCCGCCCAGCCCCCTATGGGCCCCCATGAAGGCAGAGCTCACGCTGGGGAGCCAGCTGGTCACAGGAATGACAAGGCCCAGAGAAGGAGCTCCTGCTGCTACTCACTTCTCGGACTTCATGCTCTGGTGCAAGGACTTTGGTGAGGAGCTTCAGGTCAATCTCTCCATCCTGTGAATGCAAACAAACCAACAGACCAGCTTGTGCACCCTGGGTGGGGGTGGGGGCCTCTGGACAACTATCTCTTGCAAAGTTGGTAGGGGCATGTGTGGTAGGACTTGCCCACCCAGACCTGCAGAAATGACTTAAGAAGAGTAAAAATGTGGGACGCCTGGGTGGCTCAGCAGTTGAGTGTCTGCCTTCAGGTCAGGGCGTGATCCTGGAGTCCCAGGATCGAGTCCCACATCGGGACATTGGGCTCCTGCAGGGAGCCTGCATCTCCCTCTGTCTATGTCTCTGCCTCTCTCTCTCTCTCTCTCTCTCTCTCTCTCTCTCTCTGTCTCTTGTGAATAAATACATAAATTCCTTTAAAAAAAAGAGTAAAGTAAAAATGTAGGTGGACTGCACAGACCCTGAGGGAGGAAGGAACACTACAGCATGTCTTTGGGCAGGACATTCTTTGCAGGAAGGTCAACACCAAGAGGGTAGGGAGTGACAGCGACAGAGCTCCAGAACCACAGGATCTATTGATGCCTATGGGCAGCCGTGGAAGCAGGCGGGAGCCTGGCGCAGGGAGCCACGGGGATAGGCTGGGTCCAGGGACACCGTGAGACCCGAGGGTGGTGGCTCCAGCAAAGGGACTGCTGCCAGGCAGCCTCAGAGACCTGCGGAGGAGATGCCGCCTGGAGCCTGCCCCTCTGGACAGACGCTGTCCCACTCACCAAGGTCTGAAAGGCTGCGTACTTCATGAGGTCATTGTCCAGGTCGCGGTAGGTCATCACTCGGTTTACCTGGATGCTGTAGGAGAGAGAAGTGAGGTGCAATCCCGGGCAGACCGGTCCCGGGAGAGCTGCTGGGCCACCATCCCACTGTCCCCTCATGGCAGCTGGGAAGGACCAAAATGGGAAGAATAAGCCCAGTAAAACGGGAACCCTGGCATGGAATCCATTACCAGGAATACCTGCTCTCCACGCAGGGGGCGGCACCCCTGCACACAGGGCTCGGCACCCCTGCACACAGGGCTCACAAGTTTGCTGCCTCCTGCTATCCGCATACTTAATGTACCTGGGAGGGGCGGCCACCTGCAAAGCAAAGTCTTCTTCCTGTACATCTTCCAGATCCGGAATAACAGGAATATCTGCAAGGACAGGAGGAGGCAAGACTATCAGCAGCGCACACCGGGAGGGATCTTGCCCAGGTCCCTGTGTATTACTTATGGCCTTCCACATGGCAGCTGGGGGGCTGCAGGCTGGGGGCATGACCTCTCGCCCTCAGGGGCTCCCAGTCTAGGGCTGTGTGCTCCTGCAGCACAAAACCAAAGGCAGAGTTCAAAATTTCTGAATCCCAGGCCCTTGCCCAGCACCTGCTGGATAGAACCTCCTGGGTAGGGCTCAGGATTCTGTATTTTTTTCTCTAAGATTTCTTTGGTGATCCTGTTGCATGCTCCAGGTCAGGAGCCCTGGGAGTGGATCTCCCAAGAGAAATGTAAAGGAATGAGAAGACAGTCCAGGACTGCACTTGGGGAAGTTTATGTTGGAGGAGCTGGTGAATGAGCTGGGCTCAGCCGGAGACAGAGGAACAGTGAAAGTGTCGCCCGGTGAGGTGGATGTCACTATGAGCGTACTGCCTCACAAACAAGGTCCACATGTGCATTAGCTCATCGAAGTCCCTGCAATCATCACAGATCACAGCCGTCATGGCCCTGAGCCTGACTCCAAAGGACATTTTACACCTAATGATATAACCTGGTCCCTAGGGCTGTCCCCGGGCTGTCTCCACTTGCCAGGTCTGATATAATATACAATGCTTGTTCTAAAGATGACACTTCTCTCGTGTCACAGAGATTTCCCTTCTCTAAACTCTCCATAGGAGACAGACATCCAGACAGAGGAGGAGACACGACGCTACTTCTCTCATCAGTCGAACAAACTCATGCAAATGGAGAAGCTGAGAGATAAGCAACTTAACTGTGGTGCCTTGCTGAAATAGCCCATCCTGTCATGAACCTAAAGCAGCATTTCCTTTTCCAAATGAGCCTCACTGACTAGATGAGGGGTTTTGTTTGTTTTAACCAGTCGGAGTAAAAAAAAAGCAATGGGGCAGAAAAAAAGGCCAATGGAGAGAGAGAATCCTAGAATTCCCAATCCAACTGTAAACAATGGATGGAGAAGAATCCCAGTGAGGACAGCATAGTGAAGAAACCCTTCGTTTTGCTTCTATGGATTGAATTCGATTTTTTAAAAATTTTTTTAAAAGATTTTATGTATTTATTCATGAGAGACACACACAGAGAGGCAGAGACACAGGCAGAGGGAGAAGCAATGCAGGACTCAATCCCAGGACCCCAGGATCATGACCTGAGCTGAAGGCAGATGCTCAATTTTATTTATTTTATTTTTTATAAACCATAGGTTCCTTTTTTTAAATAAAGATTTTATTTATTTATTTATGAGAGGCACAGAGAGAGACAGAGACAGAGACACAGGCAGAGGGAGAAGCAGGCTCCCTGCAAGGAGCTCGATGTGGGACTTGATCCTGGATCCCAGGATCATGCCCTGAGCCGAAGGCAGATGCTCAACCACTGAGCCACCCAGGCGTCCCTCAATTTTATTTTTTATTTTTATTTATTTATTTATGTATGCATGTACGTATGTACGTATGTATGTATGTATGACAGTCACACACACAGAGAGAGAGAGAGAGAGAGAGAGAGAGAGAGGCAGAGACACAGGCAGAGGGAGAAGCAGGCTCCATGCACCGGGAGCCCGACGTGGGACTCAATCCCGGGTCTCCAGGATCGCGCCCTGGGCCAAAGGCAGGCGCTAAACCACTGCGCCACCCAGGGATCCCCAATTTTATTTTTTAAAAGAGACACAGAATCATTCCAAGAACAGCTAGGAAGACCTTTGCCACTTTCAGGCTATTCATTATTTAGGCTTTGCAATTGCTCTACTCCAGCTATGCCTGAGTATATAAATGTCAACTCGGAGCCTGGTATCTTTATCATTGCTTCCGACTGCAGAGTTACAGATGCTGAACCTGGAAAGAGAGGGAGGAAGTGTGTGAGGGAGAGACGGAGACACAGAAAATAAGACTGAGGGAGAAAGAGGGTGATTAAAGGAATAAAAAAGGGGTTTTTTGAAGATTTTATTTATTTATTCATGACACAGAGAGAGAGAGAGAGAGAGGCAAAGACATAGGCAGAGGGGGAAGGGAGGCTCCATGCAGGGAGCCCGAAGCGGGACTCGATTCTGGGACTCCAGGATCATGTCCTGGGCTAAAGGCAGGTGCTAAACCGCTGAGCCACCCAGGGATCTCCTTCAAGAGGGTTTATAAAAGAAATGGCTGATAGGGGAATTAAAGAACACTCGCATGTCACCCCCAGAATAATAAAGCACATTCAGCAAGCCCTCCGTCCAGAGCACAGCTGTGCAGAGCTCAGATTCTATCTCTGTCCTGCTGGAGAATCAGAGATGGAGTTCTCTGAGAATCTATCTCTTACGCAAATAGGAACTTAGCTTTCCTGTTCACTCTGGCTCTGTGTGATTAATACTGTCCATGGCGAGAGCTGGGGATGGTACTGTCCCCAAGTCCAGGCTGAGTGCGGCTCCCAGGCCGCAGAGACTGCGCAGATCCTGCGGTGGGGCAGGGAGGAAGCTGGCTGTGCCACGCGCCATCAGCACTGTGACAGTTTTGGAGTGAGCCAGTTAGCTGCTCCTGGCTCTCCAGCCTGAGATGAATATTCAAAAGGTGGCAAGAGAAGGCCCCCTGCTGGGTATAGGGCTCAGGATGGGGTCTTCCCCAAGTCCCCTTTCCCTCCACAGTGCTAGCATTTGGGTCCTGTCAACTCTGCCCAGCTCCTCCCAGCTCTGAGGAACTGCACTGCTGCCCAATGTCCACTCTGACTCCCCGCAGGCTTCCCTCTTCATCCCCACCCCCCTCCTCCAAATGTGCACAAAGGAGTGTGGGGCTGGCCCATCTGTGACAGATCAGAGGTCAGCCCAGGCCTTGGCAAAGGGGCCTCTCAGAGTGGCACTGGTGAGGCTGGCCACACAGTGGGATTTCTCTCTAATTGGAAGCCTGGTGCCCAACAGAACCCGGTGAACCGCCGGAGTGGGACAGAGCCAGCGATGACAGCCAGGCCGAGGCGAGCTGGAACATTCCGGTGCAGTGACAGCTTGAGCCATCGCAGCAGAGTTGGGGAGTCCAACTCCCGGCCCCCGTGGAACAGGTGGCCGTGGAGCAGGTTTGGGGCAAACTTCAAAGAACTTCACAATTTTACAGTTACTGATTTACTATCACAAACAAGGACTTACGGATACTTCATTTGTTCCTGGAAATTTCTGTCCTGCCTTTCTCCTTCCTGCCCTCCCCCTACTTCACTCACTCACACACACACACACACCCATGAACAAACCTAGATAAAAGAAAACAGACTTGAGAAATCTGCTTCTTCGCAAGATTATCTACGTGGAAGTCTCAGTTACAGCTGCTTGGCCTGAAAGTCTGGGATCGGGGATCCAGGCTGACTCAGGACATCAAATGTAACCTCAGAGTCTTACTAATGCAACCCCATATGTCTGTCAACTATACTCATTTTTTTTAAAGTCAGAGGAATATAAGAGTCTGCTCTAGCGGTACTGAAAAGCTACCACTATTTAAAAAAATTTAATAGTTTGATAAACTTTATTTTCATTTTGTTCCATGCTGCTAAGAGGAAGAACATGCAACAAAACAGTGAGTGGGTTAATTGTATGGGTAGGAGGTCCACACCATGGTTAAAAGCGCAGGCTCAGGAAGGTAGGGTGGCTGGCTTCCATTTCTGGCTTCCCCATATACCAGCTGTGGGACTTTATCCTCTCTGTGACTCAGTTGTTTCATCTTTAAAATGGGGATCATAATGATACCTACCTCCTATGGTCGTTATAAGTATTAAATGCAAAAATCTTCATAAAATAATCTCTAGAATAAACACTGTGCTCAGTACATAAGGAATAGATAAAGTGTTGAGCCTGGAGAAAAACTATATGGCTCTTCATTTTCTCATTTACTCTCGCCCATTTTGCAGGCGAGAACAGTGAGGTGCAGCAAGATGAAGCAGCTTCATGAGCAGAGATCATCAGTAATGGACAGCGCCAAGCTTCCAGCTCCAACCAACCATAGCCCTGTGAGCTCACCCTCACCCACTTGTGGTTTCTTTGCAGAGGGATGAGCCTAGACAGCTTGTTACTCAGCCTGAAACTCATCGTCCTCTGCTCTGGGTACTTCTCTTGATTCCAAATACCACAAACCAGCCAAATCTCTCCCTCACCGGACATCCCCACTTGTTACTTCCCTACAGCAAGGTGGAGGGCAACAGAATGGGAAGAGTGCACCAATGCTGGAGCCCTGGGGCCTTGTCCCCGCCACCCATGTCTTACTAAACTGGTCCCCTGGAGGGGACTGAGCACCTTGGACAGTCTCAGGAAGGGGGAGCAAGACAGGAGCGCTCTGATGTCTCCAGTGGTACAAGAGTGGGCGCCTGCCTCCTCTATCTCAGCTCCACAGCACAAGGACACCCCCAACCCCATATAGAAATGGACCCCCCCACAGATCACCCCCTGTATGCAGAATGTCCCCCCTATACAGACAGCCCCTGTATACACAAAACCCCCTGTACTCAGACCACCCCACCCCACCTCTTATACAGACCCCATCAAGTGCTTCTCCCTTTCCCAGCTTCGACCCCTCCAACTAGACAGGTTTTCTTTGCTCTCTGCACTTGCTCCCTGCCTCTTCTATAGCCATCTCTCCTGCCTGCTCAAGCTGCTTGTCTGTCCGATGTGTCACAGGCTAGCCACACGGTGGGGAAACAGCATTTGTTTGCTCGTTCGTGCATTTGTCCCTCCATTTGTTCAAGGAGTCCTGACTGAGCAGCTGCCGTCGGAAGGTGCCAGTAACAGCAGCATATCAAGCACAGTCCTTGTCCTCACAGAGCGTTGGAAAATAACAGGGCTGAAACCACTAATTGTCTTATTTTGTAAAGGTGAAATTTTCTATGTGGTAATAATTCAAATGCTACAGAAAAGTTTAAAGTGAAAATTTCCTTTTCTTATATAAGCCCTAGTCTGTCTCCCTAGAGGTGCTATTAGCAATTTC